ACAGACTAGCTTTTTATGTCATCTTTGATGAACATACCTGATCACCCACTGTCAAAATATCACCCACTGTTCAAATAGGAGAGGAAAGGTTGAAGGTCCGTAGGCCGAGAAACAAAATATAATTCGACTGGGAAGGACAGTTCGCACAGTCGCCATGGTTGGGTACGGGTCCATTCGTCCTCAATACCCAACCTGGACAAACCATCAGAAGGGTTACTGGCGGAGTCGATCCATTCAATCCAAGGTCGAATCTGACGTTTCTGGAAAATCAAATGAGCTAACTGGACAATGGCATGAACGTCCTCTTGTCCACTGGAACCTTTAATTAATGAGGAAACAGCGGCCTCATTATCAACGAACCAGAGGAGATCACGACCGGCAAGGATGTCACCATGGACCCACGGCACGAGGAGTCCACAAAGTGTTTCGCCGGGGTAGATCTGTTGGTGACGTTCAATCCATGAATCAGTCACCTCGGATGGTACCAGGCATGAGACTCCCAAAGGAGGCGATGTCATGAGTACCCATCCAACCCGCAAGGTGCCCTTTTCAAAAGAGGCATCCGAATAAATTACCAGGGGGGATTTGGTGGCTGAGCACACCTCAATATCCCGGGGCCTGGCTTCGTGAAGCATGATGCTGAGGAGGCGTAAAGTAGTAACCTCAGCGTCTGCTAGTTCAGGAGTGGCAGCGTGCTGTTTGGAGGCCAACACTGGCCCTGCGAAGCGGCCGGCTTGCCCTGCGCACATGCTGAATAGCCAGTTGAGGTCGCCACGAAGCTTCCCCGCATCATCGGGTCGGAGGTGTCGGGTAGCGATAGCCTCGCGGAGCTTGGCTTGGACCTTCCTCGTAGTGGAGGTCTTTGGTTGGAATCTGATGACTCCTAACCAGCCAAAGTCTCCTACGTGGACTGAAGTCCCGAGGTAATGTCTATTAGGTGCTGGCACAAAACTTTTGGAGCTCTGGGGCGGTGCTCCCAACAGCCTGAAAACCAACTGGAGGCTCCGTTGGGAGACATCGTTGTCACGAATGCACTCCACCGATAGCTCGTCATCAAAGTATGCAGCTGAGCACCCTAAGAGACATCTACGGGTGATGGCAATACCCAGTTGTGGGAAGCGATTGAAATTCACCACCGCGCTTTCGAGACCGTAAGCTAGACCCCACATACACGTAAATCTCCAGCCCAATGAGGGAACGAAAATCGCAACATTAGAGAAGGGAAGATGGGAGTCAGCGACGGGCAGGCCCCGGTAAGCGTCGGGAAGATCATCCGTACCCAGACGGATATCAAGCCACTCGGGAGGTGAGCCTACCGGAAAGGGCATTTCAGAATGCAACATA